ACTTTTTTACTCCATTCCAATGAGCTTCAATATTCTGTTTTCTTGTACAGAGGTTTATGATAACAAGAATTGAACCAAAAGAAAGTTATACTAATACATATGAAACAAAGAAATGTACACAGGGAAAAACCTTAATAAATTAATTAAAGGAATCTAAAAAATTCACACATGACAGTAAAGATATATCCAAACTGTGAAGGACAAAACACAAAATACAGCAATGGTATACAAGTGATCCTCAAATAATGGTCACAAGTGTTACTCAAAAGGGTAGGATAAGTAAAAATTAAAATTAAGCCCATGGAACTGCTGGTCCTAAATCATTGGAAACAGTCTGAAACAATAGCTACACTTGCAAAGTTATATTTGTAAAAGTTCTATAGAATTGATATCAGAAGTGTTATTTGCTACAACAGTCAAGGGGAGGATGTTTATAACTATTATAATCATATGTGGTAAATTATTCCAACATGGTTGCTCACTGGTATTCATGAAAATGTGATGCTGTGAAACGTTTTTAACATTGACACTAAGGGCGCCATAGAAAGTGTCCATATTCACAGTTTGTCTGTTGTCTGAGGAGGTTGAATTTAGAGAAAGTTTAAGGGCTTTCTTTCCCCAGGGACCAAGCATACTGTCTGTAATAATAAGCTTTCCAACAAAGCGGGTGTCTGTAAACTAAGCAAGGTTTGAATGTAATGGGAAATTGGTCTGTTCTGATAATCACTGATGAACTTCATTGAGTATTTTAAACTTTTGTTTCCAGATCAGATGCCACAGAAAGATTGGAGAAGGACTTTCACGAGCAAAGAGCCTCTGTTTTCTTCAGTACTGTATGTGCTTTATGTTTTGCTTTGTAATCTAGCTCTTGAGTGAACCAGATAAACAGGATATTGTTGGCCAGGTGATTTTAAAGTTTGATTTAGTTAATCCAGGGAAAGCTGTTGTAACACAACTTATTGTACTTAATTCTTTCATTTCAGAGTTATTTTACCATCAAGTGTACCACTTTTGGGAGTAAAAGTTTATCAATCTTACTTTTTCCACTAAAACAACAAGAACAACAGTACCGTGATAAATAAAATGCAAAAAATAAAAGAACAAAATTCCAAAATAAAATTAAATCAAGTACAGTTGTACAGCTTGGTGAACATTGTTTATATTATGGTGAAAATAAAAATTTAACCCAGGATCATTCAATTGAGTGTAGTTCTGAACAGCTACAGCTGTTGGTGATTCAGTAACTGGCATTTCAAAAGTGTATAAAAGAAATCAACAGGGTGGAACAAATATTTTATTATTGACTTCTGAATAAATAATCTTGGTACTTCAAGACCAAGCAAATAAAATCATTATTTTTGAAGGGATGTATTTAGCATTTCTGTTGAACTTTGCATGAATTAGACATTTTGCATTAAATATTGCTTGCAAATACAAGTTTTGTCTGCAGGAAATCATAATACAAAGACAGCTCAAACTCGTTGAAATCTGTTTGGTTTCAAGAACAATGATAGTTTGATCGACTGCTAAAATTCCAAGAGACGTGCACTTGTTGGTGAAGTACTTATTATCAGAAAGCTAATGCAAAAACCGTGGACAATTTCAGTTTTCTCCTGGATTAGCATTTATCAACTTTGTTCAACTGTGTCACACATTTGAAACAATAGCCAAGTTCTGCTGTTATAATAATAATAATAATAATAACCATAATAATTATAATAATGATTATTTGAATTATTATTATAATTATTATCATGTTATTATAGTACCCTCAAATTTCTTACCACATTGATCTATTCAACTGACTGTCTGACAGAATAACTGACTTTACTGCAGGCAATTATACAACTATTAAAATAATAAAATTAATGACTTTCTCAGTGATTTAATAACCAGGGATGTCCTTAACTGGGACTTAATAACCCAGGGATGGTTGACTAGGATGACATGGATGAGTATAATGACTGGAATGACTGTGATTACTAGGGTGGCTGGGATGACTGTGATTGCTAGGGTGACTAGGATGACTGAGATTACTTGGATGACTAGGGTGACTGGGATGTCTGGGATGGCTAGATCACTGGAACGACAAGTATGACTGGCATTACCAACACTGCAGTAAAACGCACTGCGCATGAGCACAAAATTTAACACCTGTTCAGATTTTTATTTCCAGTCTGGTAAATAAACCAATTGTTTAAGCATGACATTGCTGCCGCACCACATTTAAAAACAAAAAGGCGGAAAGAGACAAAAAAGGGTGCAAAAAAAAAAATGTCATTCAATAGCTGATATATTTTTCTAGTGTCAAACTTTTGCACCACATGGTTATCTGGTTGCACCAATGCTGAAAATGATGTTTGAAGTTTGTAGGTCGTGAGTGCTTGATAAGACGAATTTGTTTTTACTGGCTTTCTTGCATGCTACTGGTTTGGCATTAGTTAATTTGGGAGAAGGCGATAAATAAGAAAAGAATTGCAATACTTATTAAATAAACCATGTCATTATTATCATTAACACTGGAAACAAATAAGTAAAGTTTAGACTGTTCAATAATTTTTCTATTATCAGAGAAAACAAAAACTCAAAACAGAAGATAGATGGGATTGATATTAATAGCAACCTCAACTTTGATGACTGCTTTCACGAATACCTGGAGCTTTCAGTGATTTGAATGATCTTGGCCTGAAAAATAAAGATGCCCAAAAACGTACTTTCATTCAAAAAAAGCCTATTATTTAACCTAGTTTATTTCTTATCAATCCCTTTCCATGGTTGTTCTTAGGTTGAAGACTTCAATAATTTCAGACTGTGTGGCTCGGCTGCATCTCATGCAAACACGAAACTTCCTACTGCTAAATACATGGTATGAAAATTTTGACTTCTAAAAGCCATTGAACCAGCTTTAGCTCTCTGATTCTGAGAATGAAAAAAAAAAGAAATAGAGTTGTCAACTTGCTGCCAACCTCAATAGTATAGTTAAGCTTATGTTTCATGGCAATCAGCTCAGAAGAGTTTCATTTCAAAACAAGAACTCACTGGTAAGCTTAAATAAAACTACAAAGCAATTGTGTTGTCGTTTTCCAACTAAAGCTCAAAGTGGGTTTAAGACATTGAAGAACCGAAAATTAGAACTATAATGCACAAGCTTGCAGTCATAACTTTTTATGTCTTACTTCAGCCAAGTTAAGTGAAAAATGGCAGTCGAAAACTTTGTTTTCGTGAAAGAAAATCAGTTTACCTGACGCTCAAATTAGCCAAAATGCCACAAGTTAATATCAACTTCTCTTTTCTGAATCTAATCCACTAATTGTTTCACAGATCCGTGCCTGGTTATCCATAAATTAAAAAATAACTACAAAATAGTTAAAAATACAAGCAGCATAAAGCAAAACAACTGAACCACAAGCTTCACACATAATGAAGTCGACCACACCTGGGAGACTTTGATCTGACTGGAAAGTGTGACTGAAAAAGTGAAATGCTCAACCTGGCGCTCATTATGTAATGATTTACGTAATAATTTGTTATCAAATCATACTGATGACACTTGACTGACCGTTGTAATCATTGTTTTTTTTTAATTGGCTTATTATCCCCTTTTTTCACATAGTCCCAGCCTTAACTTCAAAACAGCATGTTTCAAGCTCGTCAAATATTTATTGTCCATGTGTTTCCACTTGTTTAATCTCAATGTTTGATCTTCTCTATCTAGGAAATGTTATTATTCTTTATTCATGTACATAGGATTTTCATAAGGATATGAAGGAGTGTCAAGATTTGTAGTAAGAAGTGACAAATCACATCTTCACCAGTTAATATGCTGATAAAAATGTATTTATTTATTTTTCTCAGGCAGAAAAAAAGCAACAAATGAGGCAAACTGGCCAGAGAAATGGACTGCATTCTTTGGAGATTCTGGATTTAGAGGACAACAGCATCATAGTCTAGGAACTACAACTGGTTTGGTATGTATGCTGTCAAGAACAATTTATTACTAACAGTTATCCTACTTCATTACAGAGACTTGGTTTTACACTCTACCTATCACCCAGCCTGGGAGGTCACTGAGAGCACTTTCTATTAAGTCAGAACTGACTGACAATTGTCAAAATGACCAGTCCAGCCATGGTCCAGCTAGCAAGTTCTGACTTTTTTAAAGTGCCCTGAGTGTATGGTTAAGCTGATGAGGAACTGGACATCTAGGGTGGTTATAATCACCCAGCTGTTGTTCTACAGTCATTTTTATTAGTAATCGCTTACCTCATTTTAAATACTTAAAACACTAATGTTTCTTGTGATAGTCTTCACAAGTCAACGTTGCACTGTTTTCAGATCACAAAATTCGAAATTACTGAAGTATAGAAAACTGATATTGTAGGCAAATGTTTTTGTTAAAATAATCAATGAACTTTGAAAAGAAGCAAGACTTCGTTAATTTATTCTGGTAGGAAACGTTTTTGCAGAAAAATGGACGTCCATATATATAGGTACTGTAGGGAGGCTAATTCTTCTTTTCCGTTCCTTTCCTTTCTATTATTTCTTGCATCTCTGGCCATTTAACAGAACCCCACACATGTGGTGATGTTATGGAAGATTCTCTGCACATCACAAGGTTTGGATATCAAAAACATGTCTTCAGTTAAAGGGATGACATCTCAAGAAGAGGAAGGATTGTGGTCCCCATTGTATTCAGGCATTTCAGGTATCAGTTTTATCATTTTTTGAAATATAAGACTACCACATTTTGTTTAGGATTTTTCCAGAGTTCGATTTTCCAAATCCCACGCTTTCCCCCTTAAAAAGAATTATGTTTTCAGGCTCCTTCATTAAATGTGATCTATCCATCCCACTCATTTTGCTCATCCAGTTATTCATCCTAGTTAACCCAATAGTCCCAATCATTTAGTCATTCAAGTAACCCTAGTCATCCCAGTCATCCTACTCAGTCTAGTCTAACCTGTCATCCCTGTCATCCTAGTTAATGCAGTCAACCCATTCATCCCAGTCATCCTAGGTACCCCTGTCATTTTAGTCATTCCAGTTATCCCACCCATCCTAGTCGTCTTAGTCAAAGAAGTTACCACTGTCATGTCTGTTACCCTAGTCATCCCAATCTCTGAAGTCATTGTAGTTGCCAGTCATCTCAGTTATCCTATTCAACTCAGTCATCGTAGTCGCCAAGTCAACCCAGTCATACCAGTCACCCTAGTCATCCTAGTGATCTCTGTCATTCTAGGCATCCCTGTTATCCCATTCATCTTTGTCAACCCAGTAATTCAAATCTTCCTTTTCATCTCAATCATCCCTTTCACCCCTTACCCACCACAGTAAACCAAGAAGTCATCCTATTCATCCAAGTCAGCCAGTTGTCCTAATCATGCCAGTCATCCTAGTCATCACAGTCATCCCAGCCATCCAAGTCATCTCATTAATAGTCATCCTATTCATCTTAATCATGCAAGTCATTCCAGTCATCCAAATCATCCCAGTCATCCCAGTCACCCATGTTATTCCAGTCATCCTGGAGACCCTAGACACCCAAGTCATCTTAGTGTCCCACTCATTCCCTTCATCCCAGTCATCTTAATCACCCCAGGGATGCCAGTCATCCTAGTTATTCCCTTTATCCTTGTCATCCTAGCTATCCTAGTCATACCCAGTCATTCCAGGCATCTGAATCGTTTCAGTCTTGCAGCCATCCTAGACAACCTATTCATCCCAGTCATATCAGACACCCTTGTCATCCCAGTCATCCTCTCATCATAGTTCTTCTAGTCATCGCAGTCATCCTGGTTATCTCAGTTATCCCAGTCACTATATTCATCCAAGTCATCCTAGTATCCCATTCATTCCATTCATCCTAGTCATCACTGTCACCCCACTGATCCATGGCCAGTCATCCTAGTCAACCTATTCATCCCAGTCATATCAGTCACCCTTGACATCCCAGTTATCCTCTCATCATAGTTCTTCTAGTCATCCTGGTTATCTCAGTTATCCCAGTCACTCTATTCATCCAAGTGATCCTTGTATCCCATTCACTCTATTCATCCTAGTCATCTTAGTCACCCCAGTGATCCATGGCCAGTCATCATAGTCATCCTAGTCATCCTAGTCATCCCAGACACCCTTATCATCTCAGTTTTTCTAGTTATCCCTGTTATCACAGTCATCCCAGTCACCTAGCTAAGTCATCCTAATCATCCAAGTCACTTCGTCATCCTTCTCATCCCAGTTATCCCAGTCAAACCAGTCATCCTAGTCATCCCAGTAATCCTACTCTTCCCAGTCATCCCAGTTATCCCAGCCATCCCAGTCACTCCAGTTACTCAAGTCATCCAAGTAGTTCCAGTCACCCTCCTTAACCTCACGGTTCGCATGCACCTAAAAGTCCTTGAAAATTGCAGTCAGTGCTGGAAAGTCCTTGCATTCCAGTGCTAATTTTATCCAACCCTGATTCTCAAGTGCCTAAAAGGAGGAAACACAGAAAGACCTTCAGGATGAAGATTAAAATTGCAGTCATGTTGTCGAAGAACTAAAAAAAAGTTAACTCAAGTCTCTGATTGGAATCCTTGAAGAATGAGAAATTTGTCCTTGAAAGTCCTTGAAAAATCTTTGAATGTTTTGTTAAAAAAAGGGTACAAACCCTGCAACCTTGTTATTCTGGTTATTCTTGCTATCCCTGTCATCCAAGTCATCCTCTTGTCGTAATTCCTCTTGTCATAATCATCCCAGTCATTTTGGTTATGTGAGTTATCCCAGTAACCCTAGTCATCCAATTCATCCTAGTATCCCACTCATTCGAGTCACCCTAGTCATCTCAGTCACCCCAGCTATCCCAGTCATCCCAGCCATGCAAGTCATTTCATTAATAGTCATCCTGTTCATCCTAATCACATAAGTCATTCCAGTCATCCAAATCATCCTAGTCATCCCAGTCAACCCAGTCACCCATGTTACATCATTCCTCTTAGAGATCCCTGTCATGCCAGTCATTCTCTCATCATAGTCATCCCAGTCATCCCAGTCATCCTTGTTATCTTAGTTATCCCAGTAACCCTAGACACCCAAATCATCCTATTATGCGACTCATTCTATTTATCCTAGTCATCCTAGTGATCCCAGTCAACCCAGTCCTCCCAGTCATCTTAGTAATCCTAGTCTTCCTAGGTACAGCTCACTTTCGAAAAGAGTGATAGCCTTGGACCCAAACTAAGCAAACGTGCGCATTTATGGGATTGTTTGGGGGGACAAGTCAAGCAGTCACTTATGATGAGACATGCAAGTTGATGTGTTCCTTTGTGCACAAATAACTTCAGGAACTCCCCTGGTCTGGCATTTTATAGAATACCAAAGGCAAGATTTAACTGCAGTTATTTTCTTTTCGTATCTTTCTTGTCCTACCTAGACTAGCTGCAACTATATTGCGGTGCCAGGACACTGGTAAAAATATTCTTTAGAAAGTTTATAATAAAATCTTGAAGTCTTGAATCTTGAAGACGTAAGTGTATGTGTGCTTCGGAATGCTAATTTGAAGTTGAACTCCGATAGCAAGTGGTGCATTCATCTGGTTTTTCTCGAGGTAAAATCGCCCCAGCCACATCTTCCTTCAGCTCCACATTTTTATGTTTTCTTTCAATTCCATCTTCCTTTTTGCTATTTTGAGCTGTTTTAACCCCAATGAAACATTCTACCTTGCTTTCTGCCATGTTTGTTTACATTCGCATCCCCCCAAATAATCCCATAATTATGTGCATGCCTAGTTTGGGTCCCAGTCTATCACTCTTTTCTGAAGTGAGCCATTCCAGTCATCCTAACCATCCTAGTAATCCTAGTCATCACAATCATCCCATTCATTCTTGCCATCCTAATCATCCCAGTCATCCAAGTCACCCCTGAGGTACCACTCATCCAAGTATCGCTAGTCACCCCAGTCACCTTAGTCATCTCATTCATCCCAGTTACTCCACTCATCTTAGTCATCCCAGTTATTTTCCAGTCATTCAAGTCACTCTAGTTACATCATAAGTCATCTTAGTCATTGCAGTCAGTCTTGTGGCCTTTTTAGGGATGTACAAGTACAATTTGTGTTGAGGTAGCTACACCCCTCCTATGAAGTCATTTATATTATTTTGTGACTTAGTCTTAGACAGTAAGCTATTTGTACATCCCTTGCAGAACTCTGTTCCCATTAATACCAAAAAGTTAAAAGCCAGGAACAAGTCAAAAAGAAGTTTACAACTGGGTGAAAGTGAATTCTTATTTATTTTCTCAGGCTGAAAAGAACAGCAGACTTGGCAAACTGGTCAGTGATTCATCAATAGCTCAACTGGTATCACTAGAGGATGGTATCATCAAAGTCAACTCGTTATTAATACCTAGTTTACTATTTATATAATCATATAACTTATTACTTACAGTTACAGCCAGTACCCTGCCTCAATACAGGTACTTGGTTTTAGAATATTTCTGACCCAGCCCGAGAGGTCATTGAATGCGGGGTACAGCTGGCCCGGGGTTTTCCTCCTAGGAGCAAGTGGACGTACGGGGAGGTTTTTCACCCAGCTGTTGTTCCACAACCCCCATTCAACAACAATTAGGCAAATTCATTTAGTTTGGCAGTGAAAAAAAAACACGAAAAACAAAAAGCAAAAACCGAAGAATATTGACTATTTCAACAAATAGGACTTCATGCATTAGTCAAAACAGGTCCATGGTATTCCCAACAGGAGTGAATTGATTCACTTGCAATATTTTTCCTTCGAGTTTTACCTGTAGTTTTCATCTTTCCAGATTCAAAGAAAACCTACTTTTATTTATTCAGTCAAAATTCAGTCACTGTAGGATCTTAAAACACTTCAGCTATAGAGTAGATTTCTGAAATATGTAGTTAGGTCAAATTTTAATTAGGAATTCTGTAATTCACTGTTGGAGGGAATACTTAAGGTGTCTGTACAGTGTGTGTGCCACCATATTTCTACAAATAAGTGTCACTGAGAAAATTTTATCAACAGTTTCTTTATGTTTTGGAGTAAATCAGTCGTCATCCAGTTCAATTTAGCAACAGTGGACAGGGACTTATCAGTTAGGCAAAGTTTTCTTAAATGAAGCAAATTTTGTTTTCAAATTGGATTAATTTGTTCCAAAAACAATTCATTTATTTTTGGAAAATAAATCGAGAGGCTTATTTGTACTACTCACAAATTATTAGTTAAAACACAAGATTCCTTTGAGCAGTACATAAATCATTCAATTTTACAAAGGACATTTGCCGCGGGGAAGAAAAGGGAAAAGGGTTCATTCTTGCAAGACAATGGTGAATGAAACTTTGTAGCCATATTAAGTAGTGGTTAAAAATGAACTTTCCTCAGGATTTGGCAATTTTATCAAAGATTAGACACAGTATTAATTCATCTGCTAACTAGAAACAGAGAAATTGTTTCAAAAAATAATTTAATACCAGTTTGGTCTAGTAAAGAATAGCAAAATTCAGCTGAACTAGTTTTAGTACGGGCTAGGGGTTCAGGGTCCCAGTGACACATCCCCACAAAAAATTCATAAAGTATCCACCCGGGCCTAGTGCTTCATTGCTCAAAGGAAATCTTGCTAACGTAACATATAGTGATCATAATATTTAATGTAAAGTTATAGTTGTTGGGTGGGTGTGGCTACATATTTTATACATTATTACTTACCTTAAACCGTAAAAGCTCAATTAAGCCCCTGTCTGCCTTTTAAGGAGGGTTTGAGGAGTTAGAGGAGGGGGGAAGGGGTAAACGATTAGGGGTGGGGACAAAGAAAGGATATTCTTTTTCTCAATAATGAGAGTAAAATGAGAGAAGGGGTGGTCTTTTTCATCGATAATCTTCCACAAACTAGCAAAATGTGCTCGCATTGGTCTGATGAAAATCTGTTCCTGAGATTTCCTGCAAAACCAATGGCCTTCACGGTAAGTTGTGGATGGTGTAATAAATAGGAGGATGAGGTTATAAATCTAGTCTTAGAGAAATAGAGGCTGTGATCAGTGATAGTGAGGGTGGTAGGATGGGGTCTATAGAGCTTTTGCTACATACACAGTTGATGACATTGTGCTGCCAGTGTAGGTCGGAGTGGCCTAGTTTTCCATGTAATTGCTTGAGACCACCCGTCACAATACATTAGCCATTCACTGACTTTTAGTGGGAAGCACAATGTTACCTGTATGATTAGAGGCATGGGAAGCATTACAACCTTATCACAGCAAAAATTAATCACACAGGCAGGATTTTTTTACTTTGCTTTGATTTTATTCCTTTTGTTAAAGTTCGCCACACACTCAATTCTTTTCATAGGTCCACCTTCTATTGGAACTCTTCTTCTTTATAGGAGTTGTTGTGCTTCCTGTTTTATCTTAACACAGTGGAACTATGATTTTTTGAACCTTCTTTGAAAATGGAGATTGGTTATAGAAAACTAGAAGTTCAAAGAAATAGGGGGGAAATTCAGCTTCGTTTTGGGCATTGGGCTTTGTTGCTATTTTCTGGTTGAAAAAGCCCAAGGCGAAATAAGAAAATTACAGTGACTTCAGGGTTAGGAAAATGGGTTTTAACTTAAATAATCAATAGGTTCAAAGAACCAGGATTCCACTTATACAGTAGAAGTGTTAAGTTAGTGCTAGAATTAATCAGTCTACAGCAAGCTCATTAGCACAATATTAGCTGTAAACCTCCTAAGTAACATATTACTTTACTCAGGGACTTTACATGCAAGACTGCAAGACATAGTAGTACTCTACCACTACTAGGTCTATACATCGTTAAATTTTAAGAACAAAGAGGCAATACAGGTAAGCTATGAGCTATAATAATTTATATGGATAGAATCTGCATACCTTGACCATCAGAAAACTTATGATGATCTTCCATTAAGGGAAAAGATAAGCTTGAGCTTTGTCAGCCAAGGCATCTCTCTGGCTATCAGTGGCCCAAGAAACTACAGCTGGAATTGCATCTACATTTGCAGGCTATGTCTATAAAGCACAGTATGGATAGGAATATGAAAGCGTTTTAACCACAGTGACCTTAATCTTTGAAGTCCCAATATCAAGAGAGAAATTCTCCTTACTGATCTTCTTACCTCTGTTATGGTACTAGTAAGGAGAATGTATGTAAGTATCAAGTAGGTAGAGTTTCATTTTTGTTTGATAGTTAATAACTTTGATGATTGATTTAGTTCTCTTTTGGGACTTCAATGTGAGGTTGGTGCAGAAAGGATTTTGTCCATTCTTCAGATTAATTTAAAACAGAGCGCCATAGCAACGGGAAATTCTTAAGAAACAGTGAGCCTGGGAAAAATCTTAGGAAAAGTACGATCTTAAGGATTATAACACAAAATGGATTATTCATAACTTTACATGAACATTTTGTCTAAGGCAATCTCTTGTCTGCTTCTGCTTATTTTCATTTTCTACGAAACTCGCAGTAAATAGATTGTTGTTTCCAAGTCGCTGATTATTTCAAAACTATAACTATTTTTTTTTTAACTTTTGAGTACTTACTTTTTTACACGGGTCTCACACGATGCAGACTGCAGACTTTTGATTGCATTTATTTTCTATCTAAATATATTAGTTTTCTTGGTTTTGCATTTTGCTCTCTGTAATTTTTTTTTTCAATTTCCATAGGTTTTCAAAGGGTCTGGCATGTTAGTTGAAGGAATTTGCTCCTTGGCATTCCTTTTCCTTCCATTTTTCTGCATGCACATAATCAAAGCATTAGTTGCATGCATGTTTACATTACGAGAGCACTTGTAGCACCAAGAAATATCTAGTTTTGTTTAATATGCTAATGAGCTTGCATTAGTTATCTTAATATTATTAATTTTTTGTTAGGCTTACTTTAGCTAAGCCTTTGGAAACAGCTGACTTTTCCAGATGCTATCGCTGGTTTTTCCGCAAAATGATTACTGATATCATGTCACTAGCCATATCTGGGTATGGCTTCTGATTGGTTGAGACACATTTTCCTTGTGGCAAGACCAATCAGAAGTATCACCCAGATCTGGGTAGTGACACATCATTAGTATAGAATTTCCTCACTTATTCTTCATTTTTGGGTCATTTTATGAGGAAACCAGTGGTGTCGTCAAGGATTGTTGGTTGTTTTCTAAGGCCATTAGCTTTTCATTATTATTTTTTTAAGTTCTTATTTAATTTCAGACCTCAGGTGGCACACGCACAAGATTAGGAGCCCATCACTTGGGAAAGGTCATGTTTAAATCTAGCCAACCTCGTCCCTGCTGGGCTGTGGAAGCTCTGCCTCTGAGAAGGTGTGAATTCTGATGTCCTCTGAGATATTCCAACTGAGAAATCCTGGGAAACTTTATCTGATCCTGTCATTCATGCTGAGGGCAGTTGGACACTTGGAAGATTTGGCTGTTTGTTCCCAAGTGGGGAGGACAATGTGAAGGAAGGTGAGAGTTTGCTTCTCATGTTCTTAGGGATTCATTCATTTTGTTATGATACCACACCTTTTTCCAAAAAAATAATAACCATTTCGATCAAGAAAGTTGCTTGTCTGCAAACAATATGTCTGGGAATGTTTCACTGTTGAGGACGAAAAACGGGGGTGCAAGAACGTGCTCCCCGGCTCACGTAGTAGGTGTGTCGACGGATGATTCGAGGGCAGAGAACTGAGCACTGAATGGCATTGGTCTGGCTTGGGTGGATTTTCACAAATGACATCAAATTGAGCTGATAGTCACTAAGAATCTCTCTAATGGGGGGCAACTGGTTAAGGATTTCTCTTCTAAACCTAAAGCTTTTCATTTCCTAACAATAAATAGCTTTCCAAAATATTGCACAAAAACAAAAATAGCACATAAATCATTCCCATAATTGCCAAATTTTGTACTGATGTTTT